CTTTCCCAGTCCTATTGCTGTGCAAGGCGACCGCCCTTCTCTGACCCTCCAGACCCTTACTTAGACGGCGATGGCAAGAGGTCAGAGCAGAACTCATAGATAGAAGACAACTCCCCAAGGTGGTGATGAGAGGTCATAGTGCGTAGCCTACATGTGACCTTACAGTCGAGGCTTCTTTCACCACAAGACTAACCAAGTCGACTGTTAAAATGTGACTAGCAAAACGACATGATGGATTGAAAAATGAGTGCCATCCTGACAGCTCATTGGCTTTTCTATGCTTATTTTACAAAAAAAACTAGTTTGCCTTTTTTGTGTTGCAGAGCCCACGCCAGAGGAAATATTTGAGGCGTACAAGTTTGACTGAGAATCGCGACCTTGTGTGAAGTTGCACTGTTTCCAGTGGTTTAATAGCAACTTTAAAATAAAATTTGTTGACTTCTAATCGCCCTGGCTGACAGTGAAGGAGGAAAAAGTCTGTTTAGTGAGATGAATTGGCAACTTTTAAGCATTGAGTCACCTTCGCCTCAATTCGGTTGGTCTCAAAGTCGAAATGAGGTGTGCGTAGGTGGTGCCAACGGAGTTCCACGCCATCAGATAAGCTTTAAGACGGGCTTAACAGCACAGAGAGCTAAATTTACCTCTACGCCATTTTTGTTATCTTGTTTGTAAAGAATTTATGACCAGGCTGCATAATCTTCCAATCAACAAGAGAGGTGGTGCAGTCAGTGCCAACCTTCTACTTAGAAAAGTCGAAAGAATGAAAGGAAGAAGCTAAATTTGTATTCTCTTTCGGGGTGAATGCGGGGAAGGAGCGGTTCTGACTTAGCAACAGCAGTGACCGCAATTACAGCCACAGCAGCCACCACAACCGCCACCACAGCATCCGCCGTGCCAACTGCCACAGCAGCATCCACCACAACCACATCCGCACCAGTTGTGGTCGAAGCACCCACAACAGGGTCCGCAGCAGATGCAAGGACAACTGCAAAGTTGAGAGAGAGAGAAAGGAAGGAAGCTGTTAAAAGCCACCGCTTTTAAGTCACATTCGAGTGTCTATTTTAATCATTTCCGTTTAAACTGTGTTTATCAAATGAGATAACTTTCCAGGTTAGTGTTTTCTTATTTTGCCTGTCCAACAATCTCTGCATCTACTTTTCTTTATCATTTTGGAGGCTATCGAGCCACAAGTAAAGGTATAACCTCAAGAAGCCCTTCTGGAATAATTTTTAATAGTCAAATAGTATAAGTTGGATACAAAATAAATGTGAATGTGCTGCTACTGAAACAATTGCTGCCGACATACCCATTCCAGTAGCCACCACAGCAGGTCATTGTGTTTGCAGCTGAGTTGGTGTGTGTCGCTCTATTCTAAGCAATCAAGAGACATAAAGGTGTGTGGCCTTCTTATACTTCCTGGAATTTCCCATCAAAAAAGTTCAAACGCGCAGATTTTACTCAAAAGAATCGCGAGTTTGACCTCCGACTGTCCAGCATTGGCGCAACACTGAAAGTCTAGCGGCTAGGAATTGCGCAAAATGACCAGTGGCACATTTCAACTTACTCATGAAAGGGAAGATCCAGTCATGAGGACAACTTAGTAAGCAAAACTCTGCAGAGTCCTCAATGCTCAAGGAAAGCCCTGCAATAACTAATCCTAGCACAGTCTTTACGTCTTAGGAAAAATGGAAAAACGTCCTCTTTAGCCACACGTATTGGTGCGGAAACCCCAGGACAGGACCCATTCTTCAGGTATGAGGACTCTCATCTCTTTGAGACGCAGGTGGCGGCTAACGATCCCCCCAATTGTGGGCTCTAAGGGTGGCTTTAATCGACGGAACAACGCCTAATTCCATCCGATTAGATGTATGCTATATGCGGCTTTCACTACGGCACCAAACAACGCCTTCTTTTAGTAAATCTCCAACCCTAATCTGAACTTAGTGCTCGACCTATGGGTATCTCAAAGACTAATTGACGATTTTCGCATCAGAGGCGAAGTATCCCACCATAGGCCATCTTTTGGCAACGGCCTTCCAAAGTGACCGAGTTCAAAATCTTGCAATTAAAGACACAGCCTTTCGGACCACAAGGGAACAGAGCCGCTTCCTCTGGTGCAGACGCATCGTGCAACTGGGTTGTGTATGAGCTTTTAGTCGACGCAAAGACATTATGGCTGAACACCGCGATTTTCATGCTTACACATTTAATAACCAAAGGATAGGCGTATTCTGCTGTAAGAAGTCAAGTTAATGGCACAAGACCTCTTAAACTCCCACTGACATGCAATTTAGCCATTAGGCAACAAGTATTGCAGTGCTTAATTTCTGTAACTCCTTTACTCTTTAAAGGAGAAAATTATTGCCTTAAGCTCGACGTCCTACGAAATCGTTCACCTCCTAAGTTGTCGTATACTTTACTATTGAATGGCCTCAAAGGAAATTATGGGAGAGAAGTAAGGTGCATAAGGTCGTCGAATTTTATTCTCATTTGTTTGGCCCCTTTAAAGAGGGTTCACGAGGCTTGCATTTAATCATAGCAGTGAGTTATTCGCTATAGCCTCGCCTTGAGGTAAATAAACTCCCCCAATCTCAGGCACCACTGCGAGACTTTAAGGCTTAAACATCTTAAGGTGTTTGTCCTTATTACTTAAGTCGCATCTAGTGAAGATTCGCCTTTTTAGCCAAACACTTTAGCACGTCAACTTGTGAAGCCTAAGTGTTAGGGGTTTGATTAACAAATAAAGACGCTGATCCCGCTAAAAGAGCGAGGAGAAATGCGCGGCGCACGATACCCTAACTCTATTGAAATAGCAGATTCGAAATTGTGGAATCCTTATGCAATAAAAGCAAAAGATATACCTGGTTTGCAAAACTACGGGTATAAATCTCTCACCAATGTTCATCAAGAATTCGTATACCAAAATAGCATTATAAAACGAGTTCGAATTATCGGAGTTTAGCATTTTTTAGCCTTCCAATGTAGAAAATGTTTTTCCGCATCGTTTTGATCAGGATAGCTAATATTCCAAGCCTAGGAGTTGTGTAATAATGCTACTACTTGTTCACCTGCACAACAAAAATAGTGTTCATCTCCTTCTACTCTACCACTGCACAAAAAGTAAGAAGAGCGCAGGAATGCTGCACTTTTTTGGCATGTTTTGCGGAGTTATTTTGAAATCCGGCACTAACAAGCGTTGCCATCGTAACCACATTTCTATTGACTAATTAAATTTTAGAGTCAAAACCGTATTTGTTGCGTTTGAATTAAATTAAAGAGCTTAAGACTGCAAAGATTCCGACCATTTACACATTTATATAACTATATCGGGACATAGATCTGTCTGAAGGTATTTCCTAACGCGAAATTATGCATCTAAAAATTTGAGCTCATTACGTTATAATTCCAAAGCTATAACTTACTTACGATGATAAAATAACTGGTACAATTCTGCCACTTCGTACCATTTATTCCCTTACTAAATGTTCATTCTTAATTTCCAAAGAAATCCACTAGATTTAGGGAGGGATTGTAATATGAAATTCTACGAAAAAACTCTTAGACCGGGCGTCGTTTCTTAGGTTTCGGCTTTACTGGGTGCTCCGAAATGGCCGCCTTCAGCTTTGCAATGGAAGATGCTTGGTGGCTCATCTTTCTGCTCTCCTCTCCATCTGTAATGGTGGTAAGGATGTCTACCATTTCATTCTGCTCTGTTCCGTCGCCTCTCTCTCTATTTCCTTCTGCCTCTTGTTCTGTTAACTTATTTATCTCTTCAGGAACTGGTCCTACATCTGGTAGTGAACTTAAAGAAGCTGTTTCTGCAGCCTCTACTTCCGAATCGCCCTCCCTTTCAGCACTTAGGCTGCTTATTTCTGGCGTGGAGCCCTCTAAACTGGCCTCCTTCACCTCGTCTGACTGGTCCACAGCAGGATGTGGTTTTGATTCGAGATGCCACAGCCCGATTCGGTGAAGCCAGTCGCAACAACTTAGGTCAATCTTGCCAACAAGCGCTTCGAGTGAACGATTGAATTGACGCATGCAGATCTCGGAATGTGGCCGTTTCGGAGGTCTATCATCCAGGTTCGTGCTTTCTTCTACAATCAAAATAGGGATTTTACTTATATTCTTTTAAGTAAAAATATAGTATGAATTTTACAGCCACTGTTTTTTTCTTTCACCACGTAATTCTATAAGCATTTTCAGTAGTAAACAACTCACTTCGCATCCTATCATGTACGGATAAGGTGAAGAGAGTTCGCTTCAGTTCCCATTTTCGATAGCGAAGGAAGGGAAGAGAACATTCCAATGAGTACCGATTAGCTCAACGATGTTTTCTTATTCCCAAATGAGTTTTAATGGAAACCGAACGCCATAAGTTCAAGATGTGACGTAAAAAAATGAAGGAAGCCGTGTTTTTTGTAGAGGAAATGGCCTAAGTAAAAGGCTTTAGCGAAATATGATCAGTTGTTTTGACGTGAGATCGATGCTAATACACATTCCCTATTTTTGAGAAGCCAACGTCAGTAGGACCTTATTTCCTGATCCTCTTTGCTAAGTTGCTGCAACACATGATCGCGCGATCTTTTGTAATGAGATATACAATAATGTTCAACATTTGGTCCCATGGAAGGACCATTTGGCTGCTTCGCAATTGTAGCTTTTCTAAATTCGTTTTCTTCGCAGCCCCCACTTTGCTTAAGTCTCGAGGGTTTGGGAGTGGATGTGTGCTTGCCATTACACGAGTAGTAGAGGGGAAAGGAGGTTGGATTGGAGGCCACTGTGATGAGGATTTCCACTGTCCCCTGCTATCTCTAAGTGAATGTGACTGCGTCGAAACTCCTAATGCACACGACTGCATCTATCCAGTTTGATAAATCTAAAATTACTACTTCTACTAGGCGAGTCAGAAGACACCAAGCGCATTGTAGAAAGCTCAACTTTATTTCCTCCTTTTAGCTAAATTAGTTTTGTACCCCAAAAAAAGGGTCGTTAAATGGTCTTCTTTCTTGCTTTATAAGTCTGCCTTGGAAAAAGCCTTCGTAATATCTTGTTTGTTTGCCACTTGGATGGCCGTATTACCTTCACTGGATGAGCTGAGTCGCTGCGTTCTTTCCATTACAATTATCTAGAAGTTGATTTTTCTCACCTGTATCAATTAACTGTCTGACTTTTGACTGTTTTGATTATTTTTGACAGTGCATTTGGCGTTCAGGAGAGATATATTTTGCTTTTCCGTGCAACAAAAAGTATCGCATGAGGATTATTCCCCTTGCAATGAACACGAAAGCCGTAAATTAGCAAAAAGAGGAGACACAGTCATGCAAAATTGTAAGGAAAGTAAGAATTCATCGTTGTAGTGTTAATAAGAAAATAAATGCATAACTGCCAAAAGAAGTGTAGTTGGATCTAGTCTTGAAGCAGAAGGCAATGCACGAAGGAGGATAAGCATACGAAACTGTAATGTGTGTTTTTTTTACTCCTGACGGATTATATGCAGATTCGTTTTCCTAAAACTCGTTGAGGCGTCGGACGGTGGATCGCAAAGAGTCTGCAAACCACCATCGTTTCAATTCTATGGCCTTCAGTTGGCTTAAACCAATTTTCCGTTCTCAAATGGCCACCTATTTTGTAAGCTTTATCTATAGCCTCAGTGGACCTATGGATGGTAGCAAAATCCGTCAGAGAGACACGATTTACACTTATGAAAGCGCCGATCTGGAGGACTTCGATGCCACCACCAATTATCGATCCTGTCCTAAAAGTCATTGGCTGGCGTCCGATCGATAAGCCACAGCAGTGAAGCGCAGTGTGTCAATGGGTGCAAAGGTCAAATTCTGAATCAGTGATGTTAAGAGCAACTTGGGTGGGGGGTGGGGCGGCTGAGGTCCCATCACTGAGCCACAAAATTATCAAGCCCATCTGCCAACTTTCCCTACCGCCAGTAGAGATCTCTCGAGAAGCTCCTTCTGTTGGCCATTTTCTCATGTTTCTCGGCTCAATTATAAAACAGTTCTTTAGTGTTAGCAAAAAAGGGGGAAATGAAGCTGCTACCTAAAATATGCGTTAAAATATTTCCCAATTCGGAAAAATGGACGCTACCGAAATTAATTTTTGTCTTAAGTTATAAAATATGTGATAAATATATGCTCATTTTTAAGTTGTATTTTCTGCTCCTAAAAAGCATGGACGAGAAATGAAAAACTGTTACTGCTTAGTTGCCCCTTAATAAGTGGTGGAATGAAAAGAAGACAAAGAAAATTGTGAAACGAGACATAAATCAAGAAGCACTACAAATATTGTTAACTTGTCGATTCTGAAGTAGATGATGACGCTCCGAGAAATTACTGATTGTCTGCTCTAAGGTGACATGCGTGGCAGAAGGCTTCAGCAGCACAAGTGAGAATGATCATTTGTCTTTGTCGTAAAGCAAACTGCGCCTTAACTCTGCTTTCATTCGACACTATGGATAGCTTTCCGCCTTTCACAAAAATTCAGTGCCTGTCGGAGTCAATATACGATGCGGCTGCAAAAAATCGAGCAACCTTTTCCATCTGCAGACTGTCCTTGATGGATAGCAGGAACAACATTTGGCAAAGGGTTGAGGTAAACCTATAATTCATATCTATTTACTGCCAAAAGGCATGCTCTATAGTCCTAAAGGACTAAATGGAAGCATAAGTCCGTGGGAATGATGTTTCGCTTTTTGCTTCCAAGGAGGAAAACAGAAAAAAGGAAGTGACTAACCCTCAGCCGTGATACTTTGAATCCACTGAAGCACGCATTGATTTGCCTTGTCGACCATCTTTAAATTCGTCTCTGGCCCCCACGCCTCGCCATTTTGTCCCGTCCACGTCTCCTTGTCCACCCATTTGCCCTTGCGACACTTATGTTTGTGCTTTGAGAATTCGGCTCCCATGTCGCAATCTTGCTGGTCCTCTTCGTCGGGGTGCCTGGCAAAACTGTGATCGCCTCGATCCACGGCATATGCTAATGCAATTCGACGATTGTTCCGTTGTTATGTGATTGTTGCTAGAGGCAACATACACTGTGGTCATGCGTGTGCTGAAGTCGAAATCGAGAACGGTTGCTGTAAAACGACTGTATTTCCTATGAAGCTTTGGACTCCACTGCACCAAAAAGAGGGATTCATTCTAGGAGATAGATTCGATAAGCTTAAATTTTATGATGTTCATAAAGCAGGTAACGAAAGCAGCGTAGTCAACAACGAAAATATGCTTAACTTGTCAATTGTACAAGCGCTTTAGTTTGAGGGCTTTGGAATTGAAGTGTTAAGCACTCCCTACAATATTTTTGAGAATCTCTCAGTCCCAATGACACTAATTATTTACCAACTTCAATATACAGCTACATACCATAAAGTGGACATATTGAAGGCCTCTGCGAAGTGAGACTGGCGAAGAAGTGTAATGACTTCTTAATCCTGATATGCCATCCCGCACCTAGCTCAAACGCAGAGTTTTCATCTTTGTTGATTCGCATTTTAAACAGAGCAGGTATCCACTCATATGCGAATTGAGTGCTTCTTATGGTACACAGACTTAGGAAAAGTGCATTTTATTTGCATAAATTTAGCTAAGAGACACTATGTGTGCGCGACTTACATATTAATGGCTATGCTACCTCTATTTATGAGCTGCATCTTAATCCATATTATAAAGTCCATCTCATTCGTGCCCCTCTAAAACATATACATTTCGTTAAGCCTAATACATCTTATTACCAGAAGGTACGTCTCAGAGTTCCTTAGGCAACTTCGCTTACGCTTTAATCCTTTAAAATTTGGCTTGTGATTTGCAGAACGAACTCACGTGGCACTGCAAACACCCCCGCATAGGAAATTTTGCTAATGTATGCGTAAAAATATTCAACCACACATAAAATATTACATATAAAACGACTCAAAACCATTGCATTTTAGTCATACGAAATTGGAACTTGATCATAAGCGCTAAAATTTGTGCTTCGTATATTACACAGTCCAAGGCACGTATACATGTTGCACGCATTTGCACAAAAACAATTTCAAAAAGCTTGAACTTATATAGCTATGACAACTCTACAACAATTCAAATAGAATTTTGTTGCAGCAGCATGTCCTATGGCTTTCGTCAACCAAAATTATTTATGATAAGTGTATACCAGTTAAAATTTGATAAAAATTCGTTGTCATGCCCTTCAAAGTTATAAGTCTAGCAAATTTTTGATTAAGAATGCAAAAATATCTTGGGTTCGCAAATTGTTTAAGCCTATCGGATAGCATTCGCTTGTACGAATTTGGTGGGCTGCTCATATATTTGCAAACATCTATAAAGACGGGACGTAATTTGCTCTACATATGGATTAAACAATGCCAGGATCCCTGAATTCATCCAGTGCTGCCAAAGTGATAATTGACAAATACAGTCTCAGCAAGAGCATTAGCAACCTAGCAACTCACTTTGATGTTCAGGAGGCTCAGGATAATTATTCCATCTTGGATTATTTCGGATTTTACCAGTACTTTAATGTTACTTTAAGCTCGGTTTTTTACAAGGACAAGCTGATTTGGCGCACCAAATTTGTGCTTATCAATATTCATGAATTTTTAAAATTTCTTTCTGATTAATTCAACGTCTTTTTCACTACTGGAATGTTTAGATTATCGCTGTTATATTGAATTTTGGATGTATTCTGTAAACAAAAATTGCATTTGCCGTGGAGTTGTTCATGCGTTTATGCTGTCCTGATGATTTTCAAGATTCATGCTATTTTGCAAAATATCTTTGCTATCCTTCAGTGTGTTTTAGTTTATATAGAAGTGTATTTTTAATTTACAGTTCTGAAGGCCTTACGCATAGAGAGAAGGAAGTGGAGCATAAGGTGTGTTGCTTATAAGCTGGATTTTACCATTTCGTTCATTTATCATGTTTACAAGAATTTACCAAATACTCTTCATAAGTATGACATCTTTAGTGGCGAAAATCATTGATTTGTTCTATTGTCTAGTTTATCTCCGATATTTACGCCCCTTCACATGTTCATCTCCGCATTTATTGTGGTACATTTGGGGCGCGTGGTCATGCGTGCAAATACCATAGTTTCACCTCAAATGAAAAAGAAAGATTTGAAGCAGTCACTCCAACGCTCTTAATCTTTTTATCGCGATTTCTCTCCCCATGGGAGTAATTCATTCACCTCACTAAACTGAAGCGCGCGAGCCTGATTAAGAGGCGCTCAGGCTCATCCTGTGATTGGCTGAGTAGCTTCCACCGGACATTTTTGTTCTGCGCACAGTTGCATGCCAGCTGGTCTGTTTACATACTACGTTGTCTTTGAGGTTTGAGAAATGGTGAGATCCGTTAGTAAACTCTAGATTTCTGTTCTACTTGTGCAAAAGTTAATGTTTTCCTCTCTCTCCTTTCCCTCCCCTTCGTTTCACTTTCAGTATCGGAAAAAAGATGTCAAGAGAGTGGATAAGTGGATGAAATTCATCCAATCCGACGGATTCGACTCCTTCTATAAGGGCCGCCCTAATGAGGAGGTGAGTTACATTTGTCTTTGTTTTAATTATTTTACTTTTCTGTCATCTTCTTTTGTCATTCTCTTGTGTTCAAATCATTTGTGGCTCTCTAGATTTTTATTATTTGCTTATTTAAAACCTAGGATCCATTTGCGAGGAAAATCTTTGTTTAATTTTTTTGATAGAGATGTTGGTTCTGGGCTCTTATTGTGAAAGTATTGTGAAAGCCTTTAAGCGGCATACATCACTTCTCAATGAGACGCACTCACACCCTCATTGGGGCTGCATTAGAGGTCACGCACTAAAAGCGTTACTAGAATTTCATAACGTTATGAGTTATTTCATTGCGACAGCTAAGACGTCATCTTCGATTCATTTAAAATAAAGGTGAGAGCAGTTTTTATGGGTAAAATTGTGTGTCTTTTGATAGCTCATTCTTATACATTGGCTGGACTTGTGTTTTTTAGGCTTCTTTATGTATTTTTCGGAGTATTCACTTTTTCTCACGGGTGATTGTAACAGATCGGCATGTAATCGGTCTGCGTATAAAGTGATTGTGCACACAGAAGTCACCTTTGAGTAACTTATGCCTAGAATGTGTTACAAAAGTCCTCTATGTATACTTAGCTGGCATGAAGTATCTCATTCGGAGAGAGCACAAACACACACGCCTTTCACCTTGTTAACAAAAATTCTACTGCAAAGGCTTCCCACTTTTTCATATTCTAATGAGTTTTGTTACCAGTAACGAAAAATTCACGAGTATGGTGATGTTAATTAAACATGAAGGTCCTCCTAACCGAACTTCTCCCACTCTGACTTGCCGTCCAGTTTGATGGTCATATGGTGTCCACTTTGGCATTGCTTCGGCTTTATTTTTATTTGTTTTTAAGCGACCAAAAATAACCACCCAAGCTTTGTCATCCTGCATTATCTTCTAAAGGATTTCTGATTTAGCAGTTGGCTTTTTGTGCTTTTGTCATGTCTCAAGGGAATCGTTGCTATCGCCTCACCCTATTTTGGAGTCATGGCCAATACTTACTTATGTTCTAATTAATAGTTGATTTTTCTGTAAGTCTGTCCTCTCTTCTTCCTATTTGTAACACCAAAATCTGGAGACCCAACTGAAGTCCATCAATGGGATTTTTTTCACTCCCATTTTGGTCTATCCTTACTTGAGTAGTATCTTTCTCCCATGCTGACTTACCCAACAACCAGACTGTTTTTGTTGTTTATAGGCGCTTTTTTTCAGCAAAAGATTTATGGGGCTATTAAATTCCCACATCACTGTGTTTCAACAGAGGAGGATTCCTTCTACAACTGACAAGGACTACATTGGCTAAACCAATTGCATCCATAAGTAGAGGTTCTTTCATGGAGCCATTAGCTTTGCCGTTTTGTACTTTGAATTATCTGAAACGCTCATCTTTGTCGCTATAGTGTATGAATGGGAAATCTTGTGTGTACACACAACATATAAATACTGAGGTCTTACTCTCGATCTGATGATCCATTTAAAAGCCCTAGTCAGGAACATAAACGCTATCCGACACGAGGCATAAAAGGAAAAGTTTTGATCCTCATGAGCATGTAGTGCTAGTGAAGGGCATTCTCAACTCCGGTGCAGTACACGCCTGTTCCTGTGCTATTATTACTCAGCCTCCTTTGCAGATAGCTGAGCGCAAATGTCTCTTCCATTCACAAGTCACACGGACGGTCTTTATTTTTCCTTCGAAAGGATTATCTTTGCAAATTCTTATGGAAGAGTGGACAACTAATGTAGTGTAAACTAACGATATAGTTTGTTTTATCACTTCCAACGAAAGGCCACCCTCTTAATCGGCTCCCTACCAGCAGTGAGATGCGACAGTATCACTCCCGTCTTCCTTCACTCTTCCTTCTATCCCCTCTCCCTTCTCCCTTTCTTGCACTGGAGCAGTGTGGAAGGTGTTCTAATGAAAATATTCTGCCTGCATTGCACCATATGCCAAGTATGGTCTCACAAAATTCAAGTGGTTACAGTGACAAATGATTGTTTGCTTAGTGGGGGTCAGATTTGTGATACCAAAAAACCGGTGTCTCTTAGTCTTCTTCCACAACATTCTCAGCAATATGAGGTACAGTTGAAAGTTCTGTTCACCTCGGTCTTGATTTTGCATCCTGGCACTCTGGGGAGCTTCTGTTAGGAAGGTGGTTCATCAGCATCGTAGCGGATCACAGCCAAAATTTATGCTATTTCACGCTTTCATAAATCTACACAATGGGCCGCGGCTAATTTGGAACTCAAATACGTCCAATTTGGGGAGGTATTTCGGCCGGTATCTTATGGCATAAGAATCAACTCACGATGCGACTACTACAGAGCTCAGCAAATAATGTCGTACCGGCGGGTATGTCTTTCGTACTGTGTCGATAAACGGGCAATGGTAAAGATCTATACCGAAAATGACCGAAAATTTTTTTAACTACACGGTAGGTGGAATATGAAGTCGCTGTAGTTCACCCGACCTCCTTTGTCCTCATTTCACATTATGTTAGTCAAACTCACTCTGTTCTGTTTTCATGCATTTATGACCGAGTTTGATCGGTAATTTATTCAAGCTTTAGTCTCAGCGCTTCGCTTCGGTCAGTCCAATTCCCTGCATAGAGGTGGAATTCCCTTCCCCCATTACCCTTGCCATGTCTTTAGCCGCCCTAGCGGGAGATTCTACCACTTTCAATGCTCTAAAGAGTTCATCGGCTTAGGCCCTACGTTTGGACGTCCTCCTTTTTTACTGTAAAAGGCTTAGTCATCAATGCCTTTTCTCTCTGTTAGACTGTTAATTTGTTGTTTTACAATGTGAAAATGTTAACAGTATGGGTTTGGATGTCGTCCGAGGCTTTTCGACACCTTCCATGCGAATTAGCCGCCTAGGTTCCACGTCGCAACAGCGGACTTAGTTCCATACATGGCTTTCTTTGTATCCTGTTTGAATTCGCTCAGCGTCGTGTGCAAGTATGCAGGACGAATCTTTTAAGTCACCTTTAAAATCCGTTCCTGTTCCCGCGTTTTGAGGTGTTATCAGACTTAGTGCTTTTATGAAAAACGTTACCAACAGCGCATTTAAATATTCGAGCACTTTGAGAAATAACTTTTAACTTTAACCCGGCCATTAACGGAAAACCTTCTATTCTTCGAATTCGACGTAGTTTTTCTGACTAAAAACACCAAAACACATCTCTCAGCTTAGGTGATAGAGTAACGAGTAACCCTTTTCGCAGAGGCCAGTAGAGGTGCTGAGCTTCCACTCGTCTGGGTGCCAAACCGGACAGGGCCCTACCAGCATCTTCAATTAACCCTAATACTGAAAATTGTTGGTCTAGACCTATCTGTTCTGCATTCCACTTTTCACACAGGCGAAATCGCGTTTGTGCTCTCCAGATTTTTTCCAAACATTGACAATAATTTTTTCGTAAGGAAGTAATGTGTTTACTAATTAGCAATTTAAGTAACATGCACTTACTGCCATCCGGATGCTCAGTTTTTTAATCGTTCATTCCTGTTTCATATCATGTTCCTTCTTTGATGTAAATTTGTCTTTTTACTTAAATCCCACTTGAGTAGTACGCTGGTACTATTATCTTTTTTCCTCACTAATTCCAGTTGATTCGGCGCGTCTTCAAAGGAATTCCACCACGCATTCGTCCCCGAGTTTGGCCCATCCTCCTCAACGTGGCCTCGGCTAAACGGGATCGGGTGTATGAGGTGAGTCGATTGGCCGCTGCCACCGCCAATTCGACGGCGGCCTGCCTGTCGTGGCGGTAATTAGATGCATGAGGTGGGTCAGGCCACTTGAGAAGGAAGGTATGCTAATTTAGTGCATAGAGCTGCTTAAGCCATTGTGACTCACTTGTGTGTGTGTGTGTGTGTGTGTGTGCTACATGTGCTGGCTGGCTACCAGCCAGTGAAAGAAGCTGGTGGTGCCGTATGAATGATGGTGAAATCCGCGTGCATGTGGTTTTCGTAGGATCAGCAGTTATAGTGGTGAAGAGTCCTTTGAACCGGCTGTGGGTGAAATCTGCAGAACCGGTCAACAGATGATGACTAATTGTGCCTTGTGTGTCTATTAGCTTGTTGTTTATATCAATTACACAAACTGTTATCAACGCATCTCTCGGGTCTGGAAATGTCAGAACTGACTGCCTTCCCTACTCTCTGTGGTAATTACCCAAGACAAAATGTCAGCGACGATATGCATTTGGAGATACGAAAAGCAAATACTAAGCCTGTCGTATGACAGTGCTAGAGGAAGTGGGCTGTCAAATGCCATTCCCTTGACTAAATGAAGCCTCTTCGTATGGCGTTATAGATATGATGCCTGAAGTCAGCCGAAAAATGTAACTTTAAGGTAAGGAAATTGTAAATTCATGGACGGTAAATGTCTACCAGGCAGTAAATCTAGCTGGATTTCCACGCCACGCATTATTAATGCGCTAATCGCCGGCACGTTAGGATTTATTAATCACTACTGTGAATCATCAAGAGAAGGTTGCTGCGGAGGACCGCGACTGCGTGTGTGGGTGTTGCCTTTTTGTAATGGCAACTGTTTGCAAATGATTGCCTTCAGACTTCTCACGACGATCTCTGCGCCCATAATTAGGTGCTCTGCGTGCTTGCTAGATGGTGAACGCGGAAGCCTCACGATCTGTCACCTTTGAGGCGCTTAAATCACTCAATCGTCACACCAATCACTCACTCAATCGTCACCATTTTTCTCCTCTGGAAGGGTTTGGTATCGGCAAGATCATCAAGGAGGTAGTTACTAATTATTATTGCCTATTGCCAGGGTAAAAGTGTATCCACTAGAGAAGTGAACGGATAACCTGTTTTAATATAGCCAAATAAATTTGGCTATCCTGCAGTGTATCGCCCAACGCTCGCACAAGCTCTCTTGTGTTTAGTCGTTGAAAGAGTGCCGTTCCGAAGCTACCTACTTGCAGTTTTTGTGAGAAGCAAAAAATTATTCAAAACCCGAAAACCAAAGCAAATTAGGTCTTTTTCGGGGGGGGGGG